AAGTGCTGGGATTACAGGCATGAGCCACCGCGCCCAGCCACGTTGCTGTTTTTCTAAGGACATGTGTTGACTTCATGGATTGTTTATTGATTTTTTGGCGATAAGGTCTCACTCTCTCATCCAGGCTAGAGTGCACTGGCACAAACATGGCTCCCTGCAGCCTCAACCACCTGGGCTCAACCAATCCTCCCACCTCAGCCTCCCATGTAGCTGGGACCACAAGCATGCACCACCACACCCAGCTAATTTTTTTATTTTTTATAGAGATGGGAATCTTACTTTGTTGCCCAAACTGGTCCTGAACCCCTGGCCTCAAGCAGTCCTCCTGCCTCACACTCCCAAGGCGCTGAGATTACAGGCATGAACTCCCAAGTCTGGTCGGTGTGTGTTTGTTTGTTTTTGATGGAGTCTCGCTCTGTCGCCCAGGCTGGAGTGCAGTGGCACCATCTCAGCTCACTGCAGCCTCCGTCTCCTGGGTTCAAGCGATTCTCCTGCCTCAGCCTCCCTAGTAGCTGGGATGACAGGCATGCACCACCATGCCTGGGTGATTTATTTTTAGTAGAGACAGGGTTTCACCATGTTGGCCAGGCTGGTCTCGAACTACTGATCTCAGGCAATCTGCCCACCTCGGCCTCCCAAAGTGCTAGGATTACAGGCATGAGCCACCGCGTCCAGCCCATTTCCTCCCATTTTAAAAAAACTGAAAGCATTTAACGTAAGACTCTGAAGTACAAGTTTGAACATACATCATTGGCTTTATTTATAAAATATAGTGTAAATATTATTTAAACTTTAAATTCTATACCCAAACTGTTCATCAAGTATGAGGGAAAATTAAACACATTGTTAAACATGAAAGTCCTCAAAAAATGGCAGATTGAAACATACAGCATTTATCAGGCACCCTGCCAAAACCTTTCTAAAATGGCAGTAAAAAGGTGTTTTGTTCGTTTGTTTGTTTGTTTTGAGACAGAGTCTTGCTCTGCTGCCCAGGCTGGAATGCAGTGGTGTGATCCTACCTCACTGTAATCCAGAATTCCTGGGTTCAAGTGATCCTCCTGCTTAAGCCTTCCAAGTAGCTAGGGCTGCAGGCACACACCACGCCTAATTTTTACAATTTTTTGTAGAAATGGGGTCTCACTATGTCGCCCAGACCGGTTAGTTTTTAAAAGACATAAATGCACAGATAAATAGGTAGGGCCAAGCCAAGCCCTGGAGTTCAAGGCCAGCCTAAGCAACATAGTAAGACCCTGTGTCAAAAAAGAAAGAAAGAAAGAAAAGAAAAATAGGTGGGAAGAAGGCAGCAATACAATATTGGAAGCTAGAAAGTGTGGTATTTGATCAAAACGAGAGAAAGCCTTGAGGAAGGCTGATGTGTTTTATAGAATTCCAATTTGCTCAGAAATGGGAGGCATCAAGTACATTGGAAAGTAGGGACAGGATGGAGAAGAATTAGTCGGAAGTCCATACGGGAGGCAGAAAGGCTCTCCTACACCCCAACTTCCATCCCCGCCATGACAGCAGCCATCTATTAATAAAAAAACGATGGTAAGAGCCAGAGAGGTTCTGGACTCTGGGCTCCACTGTGGCTTTTTAAAAATAATCTTCTTCTATAATACTTCCTCTAAGTATTTTTAATAAAAAAATTAGGCATAGGAAGTTTCCTTTACTAGATCAGGGCTCTTCACGGTTGAGACTTGGCTGTATTCATGTCTGGCACTAGATTGGGAATAAGTGAGCAAACTTTTTAGGGGCAATTATGTTTCCCAACAAAAATGTTTTTTCTGCTACCATCGAAGTCAGTTGCCAGCACTGAATTATGCTGCTACAAATTGACTGTGATAAAACTTGACCTGTATACTACAACTATATGTGAGCTTAGAGATGTTATCTCGTAGAATGTTTATGAACTCAGGTTTTGGAATCTGTTTCCCTTAGGTTTTAATCAGCTTACTAGCTGTGTAATCTTCAGCAAGTTATCTTAATTATTCTGAGCCTTAGTTTCATTAAAATTATACCGAAGATTTCATACGACCACTGTGAGGATTGAATGAGCTAGTGCAAGTCGACTGCACAGGGCCTGCAAGAATGAAGGGCTCCAAACTGGGATGGGGACAGGAGTGGGAGTGATTTGTCTTGGGAAAAAGAACGTGAAGACCTCAAGAATGCCTTCCCATCTCAGAATCTCCCTTATTCCATGAAAAAGTTTAAATGGGATCATAATTTTAAATTACAATTAGTTTCAATGTTTTTAGACAGCATTACTTTGAGATTTATGAAATAATGAGAGTTTAAACCTTAGTTATAAAATATTCTGCGTATATCTGGAATATTACTTTCATTATCTGTTATAATTACATATGAATAATTACATAAAGAGAAAATTGTGGAATTATCTCTAAGGAGTTTCTAGCATTTACTGTTATATTTATATGTGTGTATATTTAGCTTCTTTATTATCACTTCTGACTATTTTAAAATAAACCATCTTGGCTCACATTTTTACATTAGTGGTCTAGGAGAGAAGTGAATTCCTTTTCAAAGCATAAAATTACTACATGATTAACTTTCACTGATAATCTTAAAAACAGAACTACATCTAGGACTTACATTCCAATCTGAAGCGTTCTCTGTTTTCTCTAGTAATCTTAATGGGAAGTTGGTTTTTTATGGGTAAATTTGCCTTTAGAGTGATTGCAGGGTGCATGTTTCTAAGGTGTATAAATACCAACTTGCTTGAGTAATTTTCCCCTCTCCATTCTAAAGTGGAAAAGTATAGAAGAATCATATTTGTAACTTTTATTCATTTTTAGGATTCCCACATCCCTTTGTTCCTTCTTTTAGTTCCGTTTTCTAGACAAAGTGTTTATGGCCAAACGTTCACATCGTCATCTCTCCCAGCAGCAATTCTGATTTCCCAAAAAGTGCTAAGGTTTGTTTTCAAACTGGTTTTAGGTGGAACTCTTTGGGTGTGTGGATTTTGTGAGTCACAGGGCTCCTCTCTGTCTGGGCTGGCCAACGGCAGGGGCCAGCTCTCACCCGCCGCGGCCATGGGTCCCTCTGAGGAGTGAAGGAGGGGAGAAGGTGGGCATGTGAGGGCGAGTTGGCCTCATCCCCACAAGCCCAGCACAGTAGTCCCTGCTCCTCTGAGCTTTCTGTAATCACTCTAGGAAAGCGGCAGTGATTTCCAGTGAGAAGACCCTCCACAGAGTGTCCGGAATAGTGGGAATCTAGAGGATGTGTCAGGAGGGAGAAATTACATGGGAAAATAACTTGTCTTGGGTTTTCGTGGGGGCGTGATGTGACATGACATGGGCAGAGGCAGCACTGGGTCCCACCCTGCACTGTGTGCAGAAGGGTCCAGTGGGAACAGGTCGGGAGGCAGGGCGTCCCACTGGCCGGTCCACATGGCCAGCTCGGAACACACTGTGTCCTGTCTCCTGAGACAGAAATTGGTATGAGAAGCAAAGATTACAAAGATTACAGATAAATG